TATTCGGCCTATTCATGGAAGTGCAAGCATCGATCGGCTTGATTTGAGCGAGCAGGTGTTTTCTTCGCTAAATCAGAAAATCAAATTATGCAAGCGACTGTACAGTTCAAGCTGGCATCACGCTCCAATTATCACACAAATTGCTGAGTTTATACATGCACATCTTAGTTCCAAACAACAGCTTTTCAATACGCTTCGAGGAATCACATCTGTCAACAGCCCGAGTCGAATATGTGACAAGAGAATCTTGATCTTGTTAAGCTTGGCGTTGGTAGGCAAAGGTTTCCTGCAGGCCTAAACGATGCGAAGAAAGTAGATCCAAGATCCAGCTGTCTGAATTTGTCGTTTCACAACTTGGTTTGATTGCTTCGAAGCCACTTCCAGGAATCACGGTTTGCATCACGATCCAATGCAAAGCAAACTTGCGCGATAAAAGACAAAAGAGCATGTTTCCTGCACACATGACAGTCCGAGAGGGAAAATGTCAATGTGAGGTGTGTCGGTCCCTCTTCATGAAAGTTCTATTGCCGTACGTGCACAGGCTTATATGGCAGAATTCACATCAAATTGGTATTCACGAGGGCGGGGCAGTGCTGGGCATGCTTTTGTTTGCGCGTATTGGTATGTGATGTATAGTTTATGTATTGATTTGTTTTCAAGCAGATCTGTTGCTGGTGGCTTACTCGCCTGGCAAAGTGATCAAATCTGGAGTTTCATTTGGATGAGCTTTGGAGGTCATTGCGTAACCTCTGCAAGGCTACAGAACCTGTACTGTTCTCGTCCGGGATCGTGCGCCCAGGACGGAACCCTCATCACTTTCGCGGGCCGTTCTCTTCAGGAGGCCTGCACTTACAAGGCTTATGCCTTCTGCTGTTAATGGTGAAAGAGCCCTGCAGGTATGAACGACAACCGCAATTCACTCACACTCGGCTCATCCTCATCACCATTACACAGCGGCTATCGTCATCACACTTCATCAGTATCAATATCCCACTCCTCGTCCTTTTCCGTGCTGTGGTCGTGCTGGTCGTGATCATCATCAACAACACGGGCCAGACAGTCATTACCATGGCAGTCGTTACAGTCTATTCCGTCATCATCGCTGTCATCATGGTCATAAACATAATCATTATCATGACATCAGAATCATCATCAACATCAGGAGCCTCCTCGTCCTCATCATCATCACTAGGGTCACTAGAGTTGCTTTATGCAGTTTCATGCAGTTTTCGCCAGGATGTTGAAGTACACCTGATCAGGTGCGTTGCATCGGCAAATGTGGCACTCATGGCTCCAGGACCATTCAATGACGAGTTAGTAGAGTCGCTTACTGAAGTGATCCCATCGCATACATGATGTAGGCTGGGGCTAGTTGCAGTGCTTCTCGACAAAAGGTGAACCTGTCTGTGGTCATAGGGCGGGAGAACAGCTCCCACGAGTTTCCAGCATGAGCCTGTCGCCCGAGCTCCACATTGCGCTCCAGCGCATAACCGCTTGCAACAAAAGCGAGCGCTTGGTGATGGTGGTACGCGACGACTTGATCAAGAGTTTGCAAGCGGGACAGACAGCAGTGGCTTATGCTCACGAAGCGTGGATGCAGCTTGAGCGCTTGGGTGCGGACGTGATGTCCATCGGAAGGTTAGTCGGTTTCGTTGACAGAGACAAGTTGCACAAGGCTTTCAAGGACTCCAAGCTGCTGATGCGTGACAGAGTGGTGTGGCAAGCTATGGGTCGTTTCCGCACGATGCTGGATGCGCAAGTCATCATGGACTACCTGGCGGTGATCGTCAACAGCGACAACACACGGCTGAGTCAATTACGGAATGCCTACTACAAGGTGCGCGACTCACGGGATTCGGGGTCTTTTGATTCTAGGAGGACAAAGCTCACTTTCGTGTGGATCCGGTGCCAAATCCCCGAAACGACACCCTTGCCTCATGTAGAATAGGTGTGCGCTCGGTTTTGTATGTGCTGCCCTCGCTGAGGTACAATCTGATGTCGTTGCTGAGGTGATGGCGAA